GAAGAGGTGTGTGTGTGTGTGTGTGTGTGTGTGTGTGTGTGTGTGTTAAGAAGTAATCCCAAACTCACTGCCAGTTCCAATTCCTACACAACTTTGGCCTAGCCAGGATAATTCCCAAGAGGAATCCTAATTGTTGTACACCACCCAGAGTCGCTTTGTGTGAGATGGGCAGCCATATAAATGTGACTAATAAATGAAAAAATAAAATAAAATATTCTAAGGGATGGGAAGCTCTGCACACACAGAAAGGCACAGCTGACAACTTGGGGACAAACTAGATGATCTGTTATCCCATAATCAAAATTACCAATTTTTAAAAAGCAGCTGAGGGGGCTTTCTACAAATCTGAGCTGCTCCCTTGGGGGGTGCATCCTAGCTGCCCACTGGCCTGCCATGCAAAGCCTTTGAGTCCACCGAGATCGCACCCACTTGTTGCCACCCCCGGTCCCCTCCCAGGGACCAGGAGCAGCTCTGGAGGGTCTGCTGGGATCTGAGTGATGGTCAGTGAGGAAGACCACCCACACACAATGCCCCGACTGGCTGCTTTGAACAGCCTGCTCCTTTGCTCTGATCCCCCTCTCCTGGCTAATAGGCTGGGCAGGGCCTGCCCTCTTAACTAGCGCCGGTCTGTTGCACGGCTACCGGGGGGAGGGGGGTTAAACTAACTCTTAGCAGGATCTAAAGTACTAAAACAACTCCAGGACAATCACTGCTGTAGCTCAGTGGCTCCAACTGATCGGCTGGGGTGACTGAGTGCATAACCAGAGTGTCCACTCCTTTCTGGCACCACAAAAACCAGTATGTGATTTCTGCTCAACGTTAATGCTGAAGCCACTGAAATTCCAAAAGGCTGAAGCATATTTACCAAAGGAATAAACACATACTTCATGTTTTCAGGCTTCCCTAACACAGACAATGAAATTGCAGGATGGGCTTTGCTCCAATGCTTTTCCAAGAAGTTCCTTCAACAGCTGAAGCACGACCGTCGTGAAGAAGAGGAAATCAACGCCCAGAGGAGTGTCCCCAGCCAAACCCCCGAGCTCCAGAGGCGAGGGAAGACCAGCGCCCAGGCCCGCCTTCCACTGGAGCCAGTATCAGCCCTTTCAGGGCAGCCTCTGAAGAGCAGGCATGCCATCCGGGGGCATCCCCGTGTCAGCGGATAATGGCAACGCCTCCAGGCAACATCCTGGAGTAATGAAGGGCTGGCGCTGCCTCGGCATCCGGAGACAAGCCCCGACAGGAGGGCGGCTTTGTGGGCCAGGAAACATTTCTAATACAGGAATTCAGCGGGAGATTACGGAGGACAAATACTGAAGGACGACCTACTCAGCGGCTGCCACCCACCGGGAAGGCTCCTAGCCTGGCGGGCAGCTGACTGCCCCCAGACGTGATCTGCCCTTCATTTGGGGGCAAACAGAGCGGCCCCCCCGACAGCGGGGCAAATGAGACGCACCCTGACCCAACGGACGTTTCACCCCCTTTTTCCCGCCTGCAGAACAGAAACCTGGGGAAAGACTCTTCTTTCTTGCCAAAAACTGGTTTGGAGGCTTTGTGGGCCATAAAGACAGCGTGGCATCCTGTTCTAAGATATTTACAAGGGATGACAAGCAGAATCAGGATGGCTCTCGGAAAGAGGCGCCCACGCCTGAACTCCTTAGGGGGACACACGTGAGGTTCAGGCACAAGGACCCAGAGACAGCTAAGGGGTGAGGTGTTGCTTGGGCTTTTTAGCCATGTGAAGTACGACGTTTCTCAATTGGCGCAGCGTCCGCAGGCCCCAGGCCCCAGTGGCTGCAGGGAGGGAGGGCTGGGCCCCGACTTTGAGCCAGGAATACTCACTGAGGTCCTCAGCAAGCTGCACTCGCTTCCCTGTTAGCAACGTCATCTTCTTCCCACAGTCTTCTGCAAAGTCCTCCAGCACTTCCTTGACGTTCTTCTCCAGGCGCCTCACTGCAGAAAAGACCTACGTTTTAACAAAGCTATTTTTGCAGGAGGGCAAAAGGGCTCAAAACAGAAAATATTGCCTAAGGGAAGAACTAGCTTATGCCTCTGATCTAGAACTAGGTGCTGTTCTAGAGGAGACGGGTGTCTGCCCTCCAGCCAGGCTGGGCACTCTGGCAGGAATGGATCTCGGGCCAAGCGACCTACGCCCCGGCAACTGTAGGATCTGCAGTAGCATTCTGGGAGGGATACATTTCCCAGCTCCTGGAGGGCGTCAGAGACCAGAAATCACAGGCAAGGCTGAAGCAGCAGCAGCAGCAGCAGCAGCAGCAGCAGCAGCAGGGCCTCCCACATCCCCCCACCCCCAGCTAGGACAGCCTTTGTCCCTGCCAGAAGCCCAAAGCAGGCTGGGAGAAAAGGGCCTTTACCTTCGGTGTTGGCGAGCTGCTGCCTCAGGGTGTTGGCGGTGATGGCCAGCATCCGCTGGATCCGCCAGAAGAGCACCACATCGTTGCACTCCAGCTAGAAGACCAGAGGGACGAGTGAATGCCGGGGGACCCAGCAATGCACCCCAAAACCTGCTCATCGCATTCAGGTGGGGCACAAATCCAGCACAGCAGAGCAGGTGAGTGCATCCAGAAGATAGGTAAACGCAGTAATCAGATGAACTGCGCTCCACAGATCCACAACTGAACTACAATTACTTTAAAATGCCACAGAACTATTAAAACCATCCAACATCCTGCTGAAATAAGGCAGTCTTTCAGCTTTTCTAGGAAAAAAAAATCTGTCTGTGAGCTTCTCCTTCCATGCAGGTTATTTTTTTTATTTTATCAATTGGTATGGTTGCCGCAGTCACGAACCGCAACTGGGCATGTAGCAGGACTAAAATCCAGAAACCAAAGAAAAAAAGAAAAAAAAGCGTAATGTGACGGAGGCCAGCCCAGAGTCATTCAATTTCACACCACCAGAGATGGGCTCATCCACCACCCTGGCCAACAGGGAACTTCGTGTAGCCTTTGTGGGTCACCCGTTACGGAAGGCCAGCCTGGACACTCGAGCCTTCTGCGGACTGTAACTGCCGGCAGGAGAAGGCAAGGCGGTTTTGGCTGGAACCTTGTGTAATCTGGGAGACTCGGGCCCCTGGCTCCTGCCTGAGGAACAGGTGGTAGCTGTGGCCACAAAGGCTTTCACACAGATTCATCTCCTGTGGCAGCTGTGCCTATACCTGTCCCAGCAGGCTCTTAAAGCAGTCATCTGTGCCTTGGGCACCTTATGTTTGGACGATCGCAACGCCCTCCACACGGGGCTGCCTGCTGCAAGACCATGGCTGGTACAGAACGCAGCAGCACAAGCAGTCACGGGCGTGTCGCAGTACTCCCGCGTAACACCTTTACCAGCAGGCACGTGATCACCTGCAGAGCCTTTCATAGGGGCATAGTTACTCGAGGGCCGCCTGTCTTCCACAGCTGCCGCCTGCCCGCCCTACATGATCCAGCATAGTCGGCCTGCTCTGGGCCCCATCGATCAAGCAATCCACCTGATGGGGCCCAGGAAGTCTTTGTCACAGTGCCTGCCTGTAACAATGACACCTCCCCCCGAGATTCGTATGGCCTCCCCTCCGACCCGATTCTTTCCCCAGGCCTTGGGCTGGAGCGGATGGTGGCCCTTGAGGGCTGTTCAAAGGGTGAGAAGGTGATTGTTTGTACCAGATGTTTCTTCTGGTACTGTGTGGATGGTTTTGTTTTAAATGCTGTATACTGTATGCTGCCCAGAGTCCCCGTGGAGTTGGGTGCCCTACACATTTAATAAAACAAATGCATAAAATAAACCTTGGCTCCTAAGTATGTAATGGAGGAGTGCTGGGCCAGCCGGCAGAAAAGGGAGACCAACCCTGCATGAGGGGGCCCTCTGGGAGCCGAGAGTTTGCCAGACAAAGCAGTAGGGATCCAACGCTTACGGCAAGACTACCACCTAGTGGAACACCACAACGGCACCACCCGGTTGGAGCACCCTCTCTCCTGGCCTGGCTGGGCTGGGCTGGGTGGGAGAGCCCCTGTTCGTGGCTTCTCCACTTACCTCCGAGTCCACAAAATGCCTTTGGTAGTAGTAAAAGCCTCTCCGGCAGAGATTGCAATGGCTCAAGGCTTTCTTCAGGAAATGCTGTCTATAAACCTGGTGCCAGGTATCTTTGATCTGGGGGCAGAGAAAAACACCTGGTTACTCCGAGCCTGAATGACAGCTTCAAATGGCCATGGAAGCAAACCAAGTATCTCTTGCCAAGGAGATTGATCAATCCTGGATTGTGGAATGCCCTCTCCCAAGGCCCTAACCCTGAGCAAAAGGCAATCTGCAGACTCCTTTCCCTAAAATGTTTATGGAGATCTGCTTAATATTCTGTTTGGACCTCCTTGTTGAATACAGTACCTCCAGTACAAAATAAGAGGAATATCTGCTCTCATTTGGCTTCTTTCAATTTCCCTAGTTTGACCATCACAAGCCTGGGAATTAAGTCACGCAAAGTTTTTGACTTTGGAGGTTGCAGCCGTTGGCTGGACCTTAAGGGCCTTGAGCTTGATGGAGAAACTCTGACATTGAGCAGAAAGAGAGAGGGAGGAAGACCCAGGGGTTCCAATGGTCAAAAGAGGAATCCTTAGGCTGATGGTGCCTTCCTGAGATGCTTGGTTTTAGGGCCCACTTTCCTCAGCCAGCATGGTCCAGTGGCCATGAAGGGAGCGGCTAACCAGCCTATGCGGGGGACACTAGATAGGGGAAGCCGGCCTGAGTCACGCTCACTGCTACTGCTACTTCTATCCAGCACACCTCAACAAGTTCTGGGGAGCTCCAGTACCTGAAAACCAGCCAGTCACTTAGCAGCCAGCAAGCATCAGAATCCTCCCAAGAACAAGACTTGGCAGGCAGCCGACCACTGATTTACATGACGGTTGCTTATTTAAAACCCATCTTGGATTCCCTCTCGGTGGAATCCGAAACATGGGCCAACCTCGGTGGAGACACCTTACCAAGCAGGGATCAACGGCTACCCCACGGGCTTCAAGGTTCTTTCGGACGGTGGTGACCTCATCGTTCGCAAGGTAAGCTGGGTGTTCTTCATTGCATCTTATCATCTTCTCAAGTTCATTCTTTGTTTCATTGCGGATTGTCTGAAATGAAGGGAGAGGAACCAGCTTGCTCAGCCTTTTCTAAATTTCATTAAACGCTTCAGCTGTTACAGAAGGGCTCATGCAGCCCCCTGGCTTTTCCCCTGGGCATTGGCCAGGGGGCTGGATGAGCCTCCCTGTAAGGCTCGGCGTGTTTAACGAATGGCCTTGGTTTATGCTGTTTTTGTTGGTGTTATGTTTACACTACTGGTTTTGATTTTAAGCCTATGTTAACCACCTAGAGTCATAATTCATAAGCTGGGCAACCACATAAATTGACTAAATAAACAAATAAAATTTTAACTGTAGTTCTACTTTAAACTAGAAGGAAGGGAAAGCATTATCATACCTGACATGCTGAAGTCTCCCCACCCTGAATACAAGGCGCAGGGAAAACTACGTGGAAGCTATAAACATTTCGGTTTCTCTCTCTACCTTCCTGCTCCTTTTCATAAGCCACCCAAGGGCAAAAGGCCAATCGTGGGGAAGATTTCCCAGCCCTGAGATTCAGAGGAATGTGCCTCAGATTCTATTGCAAACTTAACTACCACCTGAATCCCAGTCAGCCCATTCTTAAGCCAGCCACTGGAGATTTGATCCCAGGTTGAGTAAATGAAATGAAGGAGTTGTGTTGATCTTCTTAGTCAACTCTCAATCCACTGCTTTGGTCCACAGGCAAATCTGGATTCAGAGTATTTTTTACGATGCATTTATTTGTTTGTTTAAGCAATTTACCCAGCCACCTACTTCACAGCTGTGACTCTGGGTGACGCATACAGGACTAAAACCCCAAACCCCCGGGACATAATATACAAAATACAAGACCCAGATACAGGCCCCTACCCTCCTGGCTTTCTGGAAAGGATTAAAGACCTGGCTCTGCTAGCTTGTGTGGGGTAACAACAATCTTACCCAATCCTGGGGGTGGCTGGTGCCTTGATGACACTCCCCGAGTGAACGCCAATTTTAACATCTATCCTTGGATTTATTTATTCTTTATTTATGTAGAATTATTGTATACTGTAATTTTAATTGATTTTAACTGCTTTGTAAACTGCCCAGAGTCATTTTAACGAGATGGGCAGTGATAAATTTGATATAGAAATAAAATTTAAAAAAAATCTCGATCCAAAATAATACAAATGATAATAAAACACCATACACCCAGGTTCTAAAAACATCCCATTTTCCACAGGGCTGGTTTAAATGCCTGAGGGGACATCCGGGTCTTTAATGCCTTGCAAAGGGTCGGCAGGCACAGCGAAGACAGAAGAGGCAGAGCCGGTCGAGCGCTTCTGGGAAAAGCAGAAGCTCCAACTCCCTTCGGCTCTCCTCACCCTGGAGCGATGGCCCCTAAGTGCTGAAAGAGGAAGCACAAATGCCGCAAAGAGGCGAACAGGCTCCGTCTGAACGACCAAAAGGCAACTCCACACATAAGATATGTCTCAAGGAGTTAGGAGGAGCCCTGGGGGACACTGTTGGGGAGCACCTGCATCTACCTGGGAAACCGCGGGACACGGCTGCCTCCTCGTAGGCCCAGGAGCCAGAGGGGGGCGTGGGGGTCCTCCAAGAGGCGTGACCCCCATGCTCAGGTCTCCCTGAAGGGTGTGCAGCCAGCCGTGGTCTGAACGGCGGCCTGGAGAGGAAGCTACGCGAGGAGGGAGAGCCAACTCCGTGGGACGTCTGGGCGTCCCTTACCTGCTCTTTGGAGCGCTTCACCCAGTACAGCCACCTTTTTTTCCAATCCGGACCCACCATGTCTTCAATAACTGACTCCGCTAGACCGGCAGACAAAGACAGAACAAAGCCTTGAGTCCCGCAGTGCAGCAAAACCTTGGTGGAATCTTCCTAGAAGGGGCGCCAAGCTATATCCTGAAGGAGGCTGCCAAGGGCACAGCCACCCACCCTAGGCCCTGGCCCTGGCCCACCAACCACTTCCAACTTTTCCCCAGGAAGCCGCTCCAGCCGGGCCTTCAGAGCAGCCGCCGAGAGGGTGAAGCCCCCGGGAAGGAAGAGGGAACTCACTGTCTTTCAGGCGACTCTGGAGGGTCTCCTCCATGAACTGAATGGCGGCGTCCCACTGCTGCTTGTCGGAGATGGACCGGTCTTCCAAGGCGTTGTGCTGGATCACCCTCTGCCAACACAGAGTGCAGCCATCAGGACGGCCCTCCTCCCCGCCTCCCGCCCGCCCCGCCTCAACGAGGGAGGGCAGGCCCTACCAGGCTGTCTTCCGCCCGCTCGTTCCACTTGTGCCGCTTGATGCTCTCCTCCTTTACGGCCTGCTTCAGTTTGTCGAAGATGTCGTCATGCTCCTTGCCCTTCTGCTCAGTCATGAAGCGAGAAAACTCCTCCTGGAGGGTCTCCCAGGCCACCTGGAGAGGGGCAGGAGGGACACCCCTTAGCGCACCAGCAGGCAAAAACACCAAATCCACCTCGGTGCAGCTCCAGCACGTACCCCACAAGCCCCCCTCCTGCCCGCTGGACACGAGGCTGACGGGGGAGTGGGTCTGATCCCCCCCCGGCCTCCCTTTTAAGCCAGAAGCTGCAGCGGGGCGGATTCTCCAGGCAGCTCACCCTCTTTTCCGAGGGTCCTCTGTTCTCTACAGAAGCTAGCCAAGGACTGGACCCAGCTTAATTTCTTTTCCGAGTCTGATGAAGTATTATTCTATTCATCTAGATCGGCCTCCCTCCCTACAAAGAGGAGGAAGGACTAGCCAGACACTGCAGCTCTACTGGGCCAATAGGAATTGTTTCCTTTTTATCTTCTTTTCCCCCGCTTTGCTTCCCAGTAAGTTGTACAAACCGCAAGAGCCCTGTCTCTCCGCTGCCAGGATTAGTGGGAAGATGCTGGCCAAGGCTTCTCTCTGGGAAATGCAGGGTGGCAGGGAGGAGGCAGACAGGGACAGAGGACTGGAGACTGCCCACCCAGTGGGCTCAGTCCCGCTGCCATCCCAGCATTCAGGCCAAGAGGCAGAAGCCATTTAAGCCGCCAAATAGGGTAGTGGCCCAATTTCAGAGGCATCACGAGTGGAATGGCCTTAAAAAAGGGGAAGGGTGCTTGAAATAGAGCGCAAATGACTGGGGAAGTAATCGGCTGATTTGGTAGGCAGAGGAGATTCTGCCCAGCACGTGGGACAGGCTGAGAGAGCTATTTTTCACCACTATCTGGAAGGGAGATGACAGAGGAGGATGCACAGAGGAGCAGTCCTACTAATGGGAGGTCTGGAGTGGGGGGTGTCACGAGCTGCAGGAACCCGAGTGTGAAGCGTCTCCTGGCTCTGCGCTTATCTGCCTCTCTCAGAAAGGAAGAGGTGAGGCAGGAACGCCAGAGGAGCCGGGCACCGAAGTGCAACCTGATCTGCCGCTCAGCTTAGGGCATCCAGCTGTTCCCACAGAGCTGAAAGCCAAGAGGTTTCTCTAAGGCTGCCAGAACTCACCTCTACAGCTTTGTTGGGCAGCTGCTTGTCAGTCCACTGCTTCAGCCTGATGTCTACGGTGGTGTTGAAAGTCCCAGCATTCAGAGACTGCGCCGCTGGAAGGTAGATGTTTTCTATCACGTGTGTCGAAACTCTGTCCCATAAAGACTTCTGAAGAATTTCCTCCCTAAGAGGCAAATGCAGGAATAGATGAAATCAGAACCAGAAGGATCACAGAAAGGGGAGAAAATTACCACCGGTTGCCTAGATTGTAATCATTATTATTGGGCCGGAATCTAATAACATAGCTATATCTTCTGCTTACAAAAGAAACTCTACAGCAGCTCAAAACAAATTATCTGAGATATTTTAATAGTATTTCATAATATTTACTCCAGAAAATTGAATGTTAACAGTTCTGAAAGGCAACCTTACTTCATCTTCTAAAAATCTCAGTCATTTGGTAGAACTATCGTCTGCCACTCAGAAAAAGAAAGTATATTAAGTTTTAACTGATGAACCGAACTCCTTATGCGCTGATATAAACAGATGTTTCCATTTAAATTGTCATTTTAATAAACGAAATTGTAATTACTATAATATAAGCATAGTTATTCTATGAACTGCAGAAGCCTTGAATGCTTTTGGGGAATGGACAGGAATGTATTAGACTTGCAAACATAAAAGTGGTTGCGATCCGATGGACCTTCCATGGAAAACAGACTAAAGGAGCAGGGAGGAGGGGGGAATCCACATGTGGTGAGAATTCAGCCCTTCTCTTTGCTTGCTGCGTGAACCAGGCCATCGCAGGAAGCACTGAGACAGTTTGCTTGGACACCGCATCCAGTATTCTGTGAACACAGCCGTGGCATTTTGTTAACTGGGGGGTGAGGATTTAGAGAGAGGTACAACCCCAGTAGAAGAGGACTGTTAACACACAGGAAGCCCTGCACCATTCAAGGCAACAGGGCAGAATTCTGAAGACGAGTAATTTGGGATTAATTAGAAAGAAATCTAGATCAACGAGGCAGAAAACTAATGCTGCAGGGATAGGGGTGATAGGTTGATAGTCCAAAGGGTGGAAACAGCCACGGTTAACATAATGAGCCTGAATGTTAATGGGTTCCCTCTGCAAAAGGAAAAAGGTTTGCAAAGAAGGGGAAAAGATTTTCTTGCAGAAAATTTGCTACTTCAAGGGGTGTTTGGTGAGTGAACCCATTCAAATCTCTGCTATCCTGCTAAAGTTATGACACTGGAGTAGTAAATAGGTCCATATGGATTCCAACCAGCTCACTTCAAGCTTTAGAAAAGCTACATATGAGAACTTGAAAGGATACCAAACACTTAAAAAAAAAAGTTGGAAAGACTTGGAAACTAAAAGCAGAAGTTTCTATTGTCTTTGGCCAAATGATGCTTAATGCCGAACTCTTGCCAAACCAGATTGATCTGTTAAAAAACAGCTCCATAAACGCACACGTGCACTTCAACGAACGTGCTGTTGGGGGCCTCCTGATCTGATCAGACAAGAGGCAAGTCAAAAGCCACAGCCCACAGGCCCGAGCAAGCCCCCAATCCCTCCTTGTGACATTTCAGCAGCAGGATTCTGCTTGCACGCACGGCAGTGATTCCCGAGACCCCAACGGAGAAGAATCATGCTAAGCACATACACGGTTCTTAGTCCAGCATCTCTCCTGCTCCATCTTGCTTATATACAACGCTGTTATACAACACAACATTTGAGGCTGCTTAGATTTTTGCTTGCTCTTTGTAAGCCTCTGCATGCTCACAGATGACATTTGTTGGGCAACCAGACACACCTGGACTCTATTTAGAATATTTACAGCTGTGCACAGCTGTTTCACCTCCACTGCCCCTCCTTTTTGGCTGTTTTTAATCACTCCTGGACCAAGAACAATCCACAAATGGGATGATTCCTCCTAGGGGGACTGCAAAACTGTCAGTCCTCAGCAGAACAGCCAGAGGTCACCCAACTTACTTCAGACACGTAGAACCATCAACACTGAGAGTCCCAGATGCATTCCGAGAACTCTGTGCCATCAACAGAGCATTCAAAGCAGCCCATTTTAACCTTAGCATCTCAACTACGTTCCTAACAAAAACAAAAGAAATCAAATACTGTACCAGTGCTTAGGGGTCACCTGGCTCAAACTTATGACTTCATCAAGGATTTCGTTCTTGGCTTTTTCAAACAGCTCATTCTAGACAGAGAAACAGAATTACTGACCATGAGGCGTAGGATAAATCAGGTGCACAAACAGGCACGGCCATTTTCTGCCAACTGAGCCCACTCGGCAAGAACAGCATCCTCTGGAGTGGAGCGATGACGCAAGTCTCTCCTGGGGACTTGAGTCTTCCAGTGGGCTGCTGGAGAGCCTGAATTGCTCCTTGGGCAGCCTCTTCCCCCTCCTGCCCCAACCCCAAATTCCTCCTTTCGCAGGGCAAAGGCGGCAACCGCCGTGCTTCTCCATGGCTCCATCTGGCCTCGTCCAGCGCTTGCTCCTTTCCAAGGCAAAGGGAGATACCTCCGTGGCTGGACTCAGCAGGGCCCTCTTCCACATGGGGTCATGGGGTCAAACCACGACTCCCTTCATCCCTCATGGAAAAGGCCAATAGCTGGAGAGGAGGAGCTGAGCCAAACATCCACAATCTTCAATACCATCCCTGGTTCCAAGGCAGCTCAGGTCAAGATCCTGGCTGCCTCTCTCTTTTCTAACTGTGCTACTATGGGGGATGGAGAGGGGGATGCTGATCGTAATTTGTGCTTCAACTTCAGACGTTCCATGAAAGTTTTATTAGTTAATTATACATTTGTGTTATACCACACACATTTTAATTTTGTGGTAAGCCACCATGAACTGGTGGCAAATAAATGCAACCAACTGATTAATAATACATTTTAGCTTTGAAAGGAGGTGCCGTGAGAAAAAGACGAGGAGGCCACACGGCTGGGTTCGTCCTGCCCCAGGGAGTGCCTTGCAGACCTAAGCGCTGCTGGCAGAATGAGTCCAACCGAGCACGGCGTCTGAGCCTCTATTCCTCCTGGCCCCCTCCTCCTCGCTCCTGGCCCCAGGGGCTCCGCAAGATCAGATCTTGGCGGTGTCTTCCCAGGCCAGATCCCTCAGCGGAGACACAAGGTCGAGATAGGGGCCATTTCCCGTGCTTTAATATGGAGACACGGATAGGCGGGCCTTTCAGGGGACGCCCCCTTTCAGCACAGCCCCCTGCAAGCAAGGCACAGACTAGAAGGTTCCGAGCTGCTCCAGCTAAGGCGAGCACCACCAGCCAGCTCCTGGAATCAGTAAGCCGTATTTCCATGTTTAGAAGATTCCCAAAGTAGGGAAGAATATCAAAGAAAAAGAAAAGCCACGAGGAATATGGAACAACAGTTAATTGCGGGGCTCAGGGACAGGCCTCCACATGGAAGGATGCCTGAGGCCCAGGAGGAAGTTCAAAGGGCTCTGAGACAGACAGGAACTCACCCGGTCCAGCTCTCGCAAGCGGGGGTAGTTATTCTTCCACTCTGTTTCCAAATTAAAGCGGGTTGCTAGGGAAACAAAACATTATTCCTAGCAGCGAGATCCATACCCAACTGCTTGCTCGCTCACTTTTCTGGAGTGCGCCCATTACACACACTGGAACTTCCCAAGACACGCTGGTGCACTCCTCCCCTGACCTGGGGCTTGAACTGCATGATACTGGTGGGAAAGACTGTCTTTATCTTCAAAAGCTATCTGCGTATTTATTCAGCCATTCAGGCATTCAATTCGTATACTGCCAAATCAATAAACCCTCAGGGAGGTTTACAGCAGCCCAGTAAGAACGTACGACCCGTTAAAACATCCACAGTCAGCATCGTTAAAATCAAATGATCTAGAGCCCTAGAATACGGGACCAAAATGGAACACGGTGGTAACTGAAGCTGAAAAGCAGCGACCGTTAACCAGTCGCCGAATGCCCTGTGAGGAGCACGAGGCGGGGAGCACAAGCCTCAGTTGCAAGGGAGGCAACTCCATCCGGCCAGGCGGCGGCTGAGAAGCAGCCCCTCCTGGCCTCTTTCCCCTGGCCCTGCAGCAGTAAGAGAGCCACGAAGCCAACTCTTTCGTGACCGGAGAGTCTTCCCCAGGTTTTAGGCAGCTGAGTGGAGAGGCACCTTCATTCTGCCTGCTGTAGAAATGCTCTCCCATTCCCTGAGCTGGTGTTTCTCAACCTTGGCCACTTTAAGATGCGTGGACTTCAACTTCCAGAATTCCCCTAATCATGGAGAATTCTGGGGATGAAGTTCACGCATCTTAAAGTGGCCAAGGTTGAAAACATTGCCCTGGGCCAATCCTTCGTCGAAGGAGTGCAGGTTTCCTTTCCTCCTGCCCCGCCCCACTCCCCTGGGGGTGGCCGAGTGGAGTGATGAAAACCTCTCTCCCATCCCATCCCACGAGCTTGGAGTTCCTTTCCCGAGCCAACATTTTTCCCCACCAAACCCTCAGGATCACACTCTGCCCTGGGAACGCACGAAATCTCAAGGGGCCACAGAGAGAGGCAGAACTGGAGCAGCCAGGCGTCTCCTGCCTCCAGAGCGTTTTGCCTGGTGGCCACTCAGCGCAGCTGAAGGCGGCTTCCCTGTGTCACCCCCTGGGTCCAGCCCCGAGGCTCTTCCCCAATTCCATTCCAGCTGTAGCAGAGCCCTAGAAGCACCGCGGGCCAAGCCCAGCCCTGAACGCTGAGCTTGTCCATCGAAAGCGTTGCCTGAGACCTCCTGAGACGGCTAGGGTAGGGTCATTTCCCTGTACCCCGGAGGCATAGGAGCCACAGGCCTGGCCTAACAATGTGCAGGGTCATTCATGCATAGCCATACACCCCGCCTGGTAAGGACAGCTCTGCCTCGGAGTCTGCCCCTTTACCTTTGAAAGCATCCGCCTGCTGCTCCACGGATTCACGCACCATTTTCCAAAAACAGTCTGACACAGCAAGGCTGAGGTTGCGCGTGGTCACCTGGTGGGGTTTCAGCATGCAATTCCTGCAAGGAAAAGACACTAACGCTGCAGAAAGGTATCAAGCGAGGGACGGACGCCTCAGGATCGGAGGCCCGTCTCCCCCTGCCCCGCCCCCCCAAGGGAAGGAGCACAGGAAAGGGTGGCGGTGGAAACACTCACGCCTTCACCCCCACACCCGTTTTGCCTTTTTCCGGGTGAGGCGGCTGCATTTTCGTTTAGGAAGGGGAACCTACCAGACGCACAGGTAGGAAAAACCCAGGCAGTGCCTGGTTCAGCAGCGGTCCTCAGGAGAAGGATCTGGGTGTCTTGGTATTAGATTTGGCGTAAGCCAGCCGCGTGCGGCAGCTGCCAAAAGAGCCAATGCAGTTTTGGGCTGCATCAACAAAGGTACAGACTGCATTGGTCAGACCACACCTGGAACACGGGGTCCAGTTCCGGTCACCACAACACAAGGCGGAAACGGAAAGAGAGTGGAGAAGAGCAACAAAAATGGCGAGAGGGTTAGTTAAAAGAACTGGGCGCGTTTAGCCTAAAGAGGCGGTGGCCAAGGAGGGACACGGGGAAGAGAGAGTGGATTTCTTCTCTGAAGTCCCCAAGGGTAGGGCGGTGTAGATCCAAGCTCAGAACAAGGAGCTGTTTCCTGACCCTCGAGAGCTTGCCTCTTAGATTGGGGGGTGGGGGGGGCTCCACACCGGAGGGCTTCAAGCCCAGGTGGGACGGCCCTTGGCCTGGGATGGACTGAATATTCCTGCCCCGGGCAGGGGGCTGGACTAGAAGACCTCCAAGGGAGCTTCTAATCCTAGGATTCTAAGTTGTATTCCCAAGCTAGATGTCCCCCGATCCTTTATGGCGAGTCTAACTTGACTCCTAAGTGTATGATTTTGCAACTGCCTCTTAAACTCCATTCTGTTACTTTCAGCCCATTTCTCTGCTCTAGTAAGATCACGGTGAATTTTATTTCTGTCTTCTAGGACGGCAGCATCCCACCCAGCTGCTCCAGCGAGCATCCCTTCCGCTTCTCTATCCGAGCCATCGCTGAGAGACTGACGGGGCACCCCATTCAATTCCTTCCTAATCTGGTGGGAAACCACCATCAACAGTTGGGATTTCTGAGCCAGCCAGGTATGCGTGGATGTTTCTGCCACGCAGCCCCCACTTCACCAGCCTGCTTATTGGGCTGCTGTGGTGTCCTGTGTCAGGCGCGCCGGACAGGGCGCACTAGGTAGGTCATGTCCACAGCATTTCCACAATCTGTTAAGGAAGTTACCCAGCCAAAAAAGGAGGTAAGATTAGCCCAGCAAATCCACACCAGCTTCTGGTAATTGCTGGTGCTTTGCACCTGGTGTAAGCACCTGGATTCCAAGGTGCTTACAAATCAATGTTTTTATTACCTCCTCCAGAATCTTCCCAGATCTCGGTGTCAGAGTGGTAATACTAAACCACCACAAATAGTGTCTTTCCCCTGTTTCTGAGGAAATCATCTGGCACTTCACCAGTTCTCCAAGATTACTCAAAATGACACGTAATAATTTGGCTAGACCATCAACCCATTCCTTCAGCATCCTAGATGCCAAACTTCTTGGGTTTGGAAATTTACGCTTGTTCAAGAAACGCTCCAATCCTGCTGCTTTATCCTGTTCTTCCCAGCTGGCCCAGCCTTTTCTTCTAGCACTTTGCTTTATTCACGGGGCACCTGGGATACTGACTTTTCCCTCTTCCTTTTATCTCAACGTGCAACAAAACAAAGAAACCCTAACGTGGCCTGAGAAGGCTGCGCAAAAACACGGTAGCCAAAGAGTGACTGTGAGAGCCTCTGCACATAATCACTTGAAAGTGAATCCTGGGGGTGGCTGGTGCCCTCAGGACACTCCCTGAGCTACTCGCCAGTTTCACTGATTCTGGAATTTATTTATTATTCATTTAAAACTGT